CGTAAAGACGACACCGCGTTTAACACAACGATCGACGAAACAACGGAAGCTATCGTAATATTTGATTGTTTAAAAAAATTGTAGATAAACTCTGGCCAACTTACTATTTTCAAAGAAAACACAGGCAATAGTTTTCAATTCCAAAAATTGAATTAAATTGTCACAGTTAATTAAATGAACAAGAAAAATCACAAATGATAGTTCAAAATATTAAATCTAAAAAAATATAAAAAATTATTTTGTGAGTAATAAATCAAATTCTTAAGAGAGAAAAAATGTTTTCTGTACGTGGAAAGAATCGCACAGCTGAAAGCAGCGCGACACAACGTAACGTGTCTTATACTGCAGACTTGCGTATAACATTCCAAAGCTACTGTCCAAGGAACACGCTGTATCCTGCCGTCATATCTTCTCTCGATATCAGTACTGTCGTCCAACAGGACGTCAGCGGATAGCAAAGTTAGACCAATCTCACCCCGTATGCCTATCTATGCGGTGTTTACCTGGCCGGGTGTACAAAGGAGGTGGACGCGCCATTACTGCTACGGGAGATAAAAGATACGCTCGCGCGGTCCATATATGTAAATACCTCTGGGGATCTCGCGTACACGTCGTGGAGGCCGTGGAAGAGAGGGTTGCCACAGGAGGCTGGACAGGGCCGCGAGAGGACAGGGGAGGACCGGGCCTGTCGGGGGGGAGCGCGCGGGGGTGGACGAAGGAGCGAAATGTACGGTCAGTAGCTCGCGTATGTAACATACTATCTTGAATATGCGCATACATCGCGAGCTGACCACGGATTCCGAGAATCGGTTAGGCGATCGGTTGCGCGGGAGCTGCCCGTCTCCTCCACGTAATTACCTTCTTTCTTTCTCTCTTTCTTTCTTTCTTTCTGGATTCTCCTCCGTTCGCCACCCGGAGCGCGGCGTTATGCTCCTTTTCTGCCCCCGCACGATCGCGGAGACTTCGCCATCGTCACGTTCGCCTGGGCTCCTTTTATTCCCGCGCTGCATTGCCCTCGCATGCAGCAGCTACGCGAGTACGCGTCTTGTTCTACAGGTAACGAACCTGGCGAACGAAGGAAAGGAGTATCGCGCGCTCTCGTGAAATGCCGAACGATCGATCGTAAGACGTCGGACGCGGATTAATTAGATTATTCGGAGTCCTTGATTCGCGGAGCGATACAAAAATATATGTGAATAATAGTGCAACGATAAAAAAATATTTATGTTAAAAAGATTGCAGTGTAAAAATACAATCAATTTAAATTAAAAAAAAAAAAAAGGAATTATTTAATGAGTAAACACTTGAAATTTAAGATGAAAGTCGAAGATACGACCATCAAGATTGTCGCAAAATATTATGCGTCAAAAGTTTTGTATCATTTCATTTTATCTTGCGTTTCTAAATTGAGATGCAGAGTGTCATTAATTTTCCCTGCTAGGCAACTTGTCTAACAGGTTGCCGAATATTTTATCGATAAGTTTGCCCGTATTTCCATCCAATAGGATTGCCATTTTGTCTGTTTCTGCCGTCAGGTGAAATAAATTCCATCAGTAGTGCATAAATACATCTGTCAGACAAGTGTGAAATAACGGGATCGAATTTACTGTATAATATGAAAATCTAAGAAATCTGACATTTACTCATCGTTAAAAGCAACCGAAATACGATAGCCTGGCGTGTTTACGATGCCTGGCGTACATATATTTGCATTTTTCTTTTGATTTTTTTCATTATCGTTCATCATTAATATTTTCCGTACTTTCAAATTAACATAATATTTATGTAATAATTGTTTTTGTCACAGTTTCTAATCAATTATTATTTTACTTTAAATTTAAACGATATAAAATTGTCTTAAAAAGACAAATACACAGTATATTTCTTTTGAATACCTTCTTATTACCCTTTTGCGAGAGAAAATAAATCGCGCAGTTAGTAACTCGCGCGTATGACATACTATCTTGAATATGCGCATACATCGTGAGCCAGCAGAGTATTCTGGGAATCGCTTAATGCGCGATCCATCGCTGCGCAAGCTCATCTTTTCGTATTTGGTTTCTTCCTTCATTTTCTCCCTCTCTAAACCTTTGAGATTCATTACAAATTTTTTTCTCTTCCACATACTGCAACACTACGCCGATATGACTTGCATGCTTTCGATTTTACGTTTTCGCATATTAGAAAAAAATTTGCCTAATAAAATCTTGCAGTTTTCGGATATCCAAGAAAGTTTAGTCTAATTGTAAGCATATACCTTTAAAAAAAATATTATAATTTCTTTAATATTAAAGATGGCTTTAGCACGAGGAATTAACGTCCGTCTTGACGGTGGAGTCAAGGCGCAATACTTTCTGCTTGTCCTTATACGAGGTTTCTCTCCCGCCATCATTGCGCGTTCCTCGTGGTCTCCCTACATTGCCACGGCGCGTTACTCATCCACGAACATGCCTCATCTTGGAGCTAACGAACGGACTTGCCAACTGGCTCTCGTAAGAGATGACGCATATGCCTCTGCCTGGTCTTCCCTTTTCTACTACGAGACGTAGTAGAAGCGGCAAGAAGAGGTGGAGGAGAGTTCTAATCAAGGTAGCGTACCGGAACTTCTAACTCCTTTCGCACAGAACGGTATGTCGACTTCCAAGGTACGTCGATCTCGCGTTCTAAGCTACAGGAAACTAAGCCCGAAGGAAGATTATAGGGTGTCTGCATAGAGATGGTCCGAGTTTGCTGGAAGGTGATAGTCTTGTCGAGATGGTCGCGGAGAGTGATTTTCCTAGGATAAGCCGAGCGGGGTTGTAAAATTTGTCGATTAAATAATTTGAGGACTTGTCGAAACTTTACAAAACTAGTTTCGACTTTCTTAAGATGCCACCGCGTGATCGCGGTCTCCACCGTGAGAGACACTCACGCGCGGATATAAGCTGCCTGGATTACGAAAAGATGAAATTTTCATGCATAATAATTTTTATACTCAATAATTAGAACGGTCAAATTATTCATGTCACGTTATTTTAAGGAATTTATAATTGTAAAATAACGCAATTTAAGGAGTCGTCGTCTTTCTTAACAGAACATTTTATCAACGACAATTTGTATCTTAATTTAACTAATTTTTTCAGAATATACAATTTTAAGAAAAAGCAAACAATCATTTGAGAGGAAAAATTGCCCCATTCATTCCGACCAGTCGCTAATTTTTCTACATAAAACAAAATACGGAATAAATCGGAAAACTTTGTCGAAAGATGAATTAACTTGGGGGGGAAAAGGGAGGAGGGAGAAAAGAAAGATATCAGCACGTCGGAGCGCGCACTAAAGGATGTGCCAAACGACGACGGTCAAGCGTAATCCCACGAAACGATCGGAATCGCGGCATTAAGCGAAACCCTCGTGGCTCAGGCTGCATGTCGAGACTTCTGGCCGGTCGTTCGGCCTTCGGAGTCACTGGCTGTGAGAATAGGACGGTGGCTGGGTGTTGAATAGGTGCTGTTACAGAAGGTAATGCGTGTACGGTGAGGACTCTGAGGAGACGGCGGAGGCGGAGGAAAGGCATGAAGAGGAAACCGAGACAGCGGAGCCAAGGTGTTAACATTTGCTTTATAGCAACCGCTCTACAGCCGGGGCAATGGTTTAATACTTGTGTCGGCGCGCAGTACGTGCGACACACAAACACCTCCGGAACAGCCGTGGAGGCCCGGCTCCACCTGCATGCGTTGATATTAAAAGGACACGGGGTATATATTCGTTATAACGCCAGCCCGTTAAACACCGAAATGATCCACGCGCTGGCAGCCGTGCGTGTTACGTCGCCTATTGGCAGCAAGCCTATGTCGTTACTAAAATGACATTACTCTTATTTTGCATATGATGCAGTTGGAAAAGTGGAACTCTCTGCCCGTTAACGCGTTATATTCGCCGAAAATAGCCACTTATGAATTTATCGTTTGACTCTCGGCAAAATTATTTTCTTTAGAATAGAGTTTAATTATCGATTTATTCTATTTTATTTATATTTTTCGGACGTAGGTTTGCAGTAACGCATATAGCGATATAATTATTAAAAAATAAGGCCTCGCATCAAGTGTATGAAAAAAAAAAATAAAAACGTGAAAGTTATCACATCATTAAAATAAATTATCAAAATAAAATAAATGTAAATAATTTTTTAATTAGATAAAAAATACGAGAACGGGAAAATTATCAAAAGCTATCAACCTCATTAATCTGTGTATTTTAATTTTACGATACCTCGTGTTAATGTACTTATAAACATCGCACTGCGACGTTGGCAGAAATATATGACGCGTACTACCGCGAGCTATATAATGGAGGTTCGTTAAATAGTGAAATAACCGGCGAGTTTATATACATTGCTATGAGATGTTAATACGCGACCCGTAGTCGGACGTGCATCACCCTCCCCCCCCTCCCTTTTCTGTGTTCCTCTCCTTCTGTCTTTCAAGCCCAACGACACCTTAACGCTCTCGTCTCGTTTCTTTTCTCTCGCGTTTTCGATCCGCTCTGTCTAGTCTCTTCCATTGGGTCACGCTCCTTTATTTTATAGTTATGCAGCGAGGACACTTTTACTACGACCGCGCGAACATTTCGCGGTTTCAGCTCGCGGTGAGCGCTTTTATTGCTGAGGACGCTTTTACCCCCGAATACGCTATCCTTTATTTATTACGAAGCGGTCGCACGCGTTGCAAAAAGAATAGCGTGTAACGAATCAAAAGACAAATCGAAATCAAAGTAAGTAATACATTGAGAAATAAATCTATTTCAATAGATAGTTCAAATCTGAAAGATCTAACCACGGAAAAAAATTGTTATTTGCATTTAAATGCAATTTTTGTATTCGCCGTTTTCGTAAACATTCGAACTAGCGTAATCAACAAAATTATGCTCGATTATAAATAAAGATATTTCATATAATTCAATTTACTTATATCAATATTCAACTGCGATAATTAACAATCAGTAATTAAACCTTCACTTACTTGGTATAGAAGCCTTCCTTGCACTCCGAGCAAATAAATCTTCGCCGACGACCTCTTGTGTCCAGGCACTCCGACGAGAAGGTGCCGCATATCCTTTGATGAACGCTGAGCTCCGATCGCCTCGAGAATGAGATGGAACACTTCGCGCAGGGAAAGGGTTTTTCTCCAGTATGCTGTATAATATGATTCCGCAGCGAAGGTTTTGCAAAAATCTTCTTACAGATCGGACACCGGTACTTCGGCAACAACTTGCTGGAGCTCGGAACTTCTTCGTCAACTTGCACGGCACCGGTGTGGAGGGCTCCGTGAAAGATGAATTCAGCTTGAGAGTCCGTCGAGAAGATGCAATCCTGGCATTTCCATTCTTTCTTCACGTCCCCTTCACCCGCATTCGAGCTATCGTCCTTGGTGCAGTTACCTTCTCGCGTATGTTTGGTGACGTCCTGCGACAGGGCAAGAAGCAGACCGCAACACGGACATCTGTGACAAAGTTTCGGATGAGAATTGAGAAGGTGAGTCTTGTATGCCGCGAGATTCGGCAGCTTCTCGTCGCAGTGAGGACACTCCCGCACCACGGTCTTCGATAATCCTTCCCGACTCTTGTGCGCTTTTACGGCTTCCTTATGACTGGAGGTTCTCCGATGCAGAACTGCTTCCTGGGTGGTGGTAAAATTCATCGAGCAAAACGAGCAGAAGTATGGCGCCAGTCGCGCGGCCGCCGCGACTTCGTCCTTTTCTTTATTCTTAGCGACGTGACAGAGCAATTTGTGGCGTTGAAGCGTAACCAGGGATCGGACGACGCAAGGGCACAGGTTGCACTTGATACGCTGCTGATACTCGTCCGACGCAGTGTAACTCGCGTCGTGGCCGGTTTCCTTAGCATGCGACCGCAGTTGGAAATTGTATCGAAATTGTCGATCGCAACTGCCGCAGGGTAACGCTCGTTGACGACTAATTACCACCGGCACGGAGCCGTTCATCATCGATACCACATCACGATGACTTGCACTCATAAGGTGCGACTCCATTGTCCCGTTGTCCTCGCACCAGAAATCACACGGCGTGCATCTACAACTACCGCTGATCTAAAACGAAAAGAAAAAAAAAAAAACCTTCTCACAGTCGAGCAATTAAGTTTAATTTATTCAATAAATTCGTTATTTATTATATATTTAGCGTTCAATGAGCAATAAATTAATCGGCAGATGCAGAAGAATTATATGCATAAAATATCAGTACGGAATGAATAATATCTTTGAATCAAAACACTTCGTAAAAATATTATACAATAAAAAGACAAGAGTAATTATATCGATTATAATTTGGATTTGACAAATCTTTTATGTTTTCGTGATCGATGACTCACCTGTCCTAAGGTCTTGACATGAAGTTCAGAACGCCAATGAAGCAAAAATGTTTCCTCGGTGTTGCAGTAGAAACGACAAGGAGCGCACTGGAAAGGGCACTGTCGCACCACGTTCGCCATGTTCTCCAGCAGGAAACGTCGCGCGCTCGGACTGCTAGGATTCACTCCTGCCACACGGCAATGGTAATGGGACAGCAAATGTTTACCCATTTGAGGCCTTTTCACACGCGCGTGGCACATCTCACATGAGATAATTTCTTTTTCTCTTCGACGCACGCCTTTTTTAATTTTCTTTTGCTCGGGCTCTTCTATTTTTCTCTAATGACACAGCATGTTTTAATCGAAAAGTTTGTGCTAGTAGCTTAAAAAAATTCTGTCCATCTATATGTTCGCAAAGTTATCATTGTTATCTTTATAATCGAAATATTTCATCGCAAAATATTTTTATATACTTTTTAGATGTTAATATTAATGTGTTTAAGATACTACACACATGTTATTTCATAACAAATTGGACAGAATTTTTTTAAATCTTTCACGCATTAAATATATAAAAGAAAAGCATTTCACAACAAGAAATCTCTTCTTATTACAATTTTACATAAAAAAATAATCTTCTTAGATTTACTCTAAAAAAACTGGAAATAAAAATATAATTATTATTTTAAATTAATATAAGTAATCAAAATTATAAGCAGGCGAGCAAGTATGGAAAATGAGCAAGCGAATGGACAAGCGAGCGGGCAAGCGAGTATATGAGCATGCAAACGAGATAAGTGTGCGAGCAAACAAGTAAGCAGAAGAGTGAACAGGAAGGAATAGTTGTGCAGAGTAGAATTTATGTGTAAAAATTTTAATAAATAATATATAATATTTTACGTAGATAGCTGATTTAAAAAAAAACATTTCAACTGCATTCATCATTATCTATTTTCGTAATATGTAGAAAGACAGCGACATGCAAAACGAGAGAAAAATTAATGAAAAACAAATTAGCAAGTAAAACGACAAAAAATAATTTAACGGAAATAAACTGAAAGATATAAATATGAAGATTGATTCCACACTATTAATAGGCCTTTGAACAGATTATTACCGTTACGAATGAAGCTTGTCTACGAGCAGATACTCTCCTACTCGCGCGCAGATTCATTCCACATGGTAAATGGAGATCACCGTCGATCTCTCTAATGCTCCTCCTGGCGTGCAAATCAGAGAGCAGATGCCTGTTGTAGACCAATCGTGAGGCGAGCTTCCTGCCGCAAGGATTGCACCAATATCCCGATTCGATATCCGTTCGTGCACCCGGTACCCATTTCCCTCGCGTATGTCCTGGTGGCGGCTGCCCGGATGCATCCTTGCTCTCGTATTCCTCGACCTTCTGTAATGGTCGATGTCTCTTTGTCCAACGGCATCATCATCGCTCGTGCGCGCTTGCGGAATCGCATTGCATATCGCATTACACATTACATGCCGATAAATCGAATATTCCGGATGATTCTCCGATGCCGGACAAATAGAAAATTGGAGGACAAATCGGACTTCCACTAAAAAACTCGCGCTTTTCATTTCATTTTATTTGCATCAATTGCAAATTTGCACCCTTCCGTTTACATTTATTAATTCTAATTAAAAAATTATTACTCTGCTGCCCAATCACTGCATTTTTTCAAAGTGCAAAAAGTAATGCTCGCCTCGCCAGATTTCCAATTATTTATCACCTATGACATAAAATTATTTATGATTTTATAAAAAATTTTTTCCCTTACTTGCGACGCCTCCGTGGGTTTCCATTTGCCGCCGGTGTACGTCGGCGGTGGATGTTCCTGATGATCGTCCTCGGGATCCACATCCTCCTCATGCATATGTGGCATGTCCTGCGGCAAATCGTCGAGCTCAGGCTTCCATTTGCCGCCGGTATGATCGCGCGGCGGACGCTCACGATGTTCGCCGTCGTCAGAATCCAAATAGGAGTCATCTTCCCCCAAATCGTCGTCCAACATATCGTCCTCGGAATCATCGTCCTGGTGGTACTCGAAGTCGTATCGCGCCAGCTCTTTATTCTCGCTATTTTCCAACGCGAGGTCGGCGAGAATGGTGTCTTCCAACCAGCTCTGCTCCATTCGCTGCGGATTCTCTTGTCTCTTTCGATTGGTTTGCTTGAGGGGTTGGATACATAGGGGATCGGTTGGATCATCCAGATCGCTGACGGCGGGTAGCATGCTGTGAAGTTTATCTTTCGCACCGGGCTCGTCCACCTGACTTTTCTGATCTTTTTTTCTACTCTCTACTTCCTCCTTCTTGAATTTTCTACCGCTTTCCAATAAAGTCGGCGCCCGTCGAGGATTTGTCTTCGCGCTGCTCTGCAGCTCCAACGAGCTGAAGAACATATCCGCATTGAGAATTTCGGGATACGACACTGTCGTCGGCGTCGCGGGCGACTCGTGGACGGTCTCGTTTTTATCGTCAGGCGGTCGGCAGCCTGACCGACGATGCCGCACATAATTGTCGAGGCCGTGTACTGTCAGATTACACTTGATGCAAAAGTGAGTGTCGTCGTCGTCTTCGTAGCCCTCCATTGCTTGATCTTAGATAACGCTGAAATTACAATAAAATGACAGAAATTAAAATCGCGTAACTAGGAACAACAATTTCCTTCTTAGATATTACAATCAATATATCAGTGACAGCGTAAACAAGTTTGGATAACGTATTAGAATTTAGAAGTATAAGGTTCGAAGAAATATGTAATAAAAAATTAATTAAAAGTAATAGATCGCGGAATAGCCACTCGGTTTTTGTTCTCGGCGACAACGCTACTGTCGTTTTGACTCCACAAGACATCGACGCTCGCTCTCACACAATTAAATAACACGACTTTCCGCTGTTTATACATTCTGTCGGCTTCTAGCAGGTTAGAATCACAAAAGAATCACTCGGTTTTGCAAAAAAAGAAGTAAACATGATTTAACATAAACTTCGGATTTCGCAAGCAATAGGGTTTCTACATATATTTGTTTCAACATGATTTCTTAAAGAAATATACATATATATTATATTAGGTTTCAAATTAATTGCAGTTTCCTCGACAACAGTTATAAAATGTTAGAAATACATATAATCTGAATTAACTTTGCTTATAAATCATCTTCTCATATTTTAATGTGTAAAAAGAAACGCGTGCGAAAGAAACGCTCCTCCTAGTTATTTCGTTTTGCCCGCCCGTTCGACAACAGGAATTCATTTGCTCGCGGTTTCGGGCGTGTGCATCGCCGCGGAGTGAATTCGGGAACCGTTTAGCCCGTCATACCCCGATCACGCGTCACGCAACAACCGCGTCATGGACAGCTCGCTGAGGACAATCGCGTTAGCGAACCGCAGTGGGCAAATTGAAGGTCCGACATTCGCGCAGCAGAAGGGAAACAAGTTGACGCTTCGTGCGGGCCGGGGGCAGGAAGATCGGTCGATGCCGCTTGGCCGTTATTCGGACGACGACACTTCGCCTCCCAGTCCTGGCCGCCCCTCCGCAGCCCCCGCCGCCCTCGTAACCCCCACCCCCCTCCACCCCGCAGCCACCGCGCGCCCCTTTCCGCCGGGGGAGCCCGTGCGCGTCCTCCGCATCACCCCCGCCCTTGTTGCGTCCTTTCTGTTTCCCCTTTCCGAAGTCTGCAAACCGGCAGCGACCTCGTGGCTCCGTCTCTCGTCTTATTAAGCGGAGAAAACTAGCAAATGAAATTTCCATCCAGCTCCGAAACACGCTCGTCGGTATCGTCTTCTCCCCCTCCCCCCCCCCTTTCCAACCCCCTGCGCTCTTTCTTGCTCTTTGCCGATCGACTAATATCCCGGTTTCGTCGTCGTTTGTACTTCTACCGCTTGACGTGACTGAAATTCGATTTGCGTATCGTCGAAAAGTTGCAAAAATGTTACCGATACGGCGTAACCGACTTAGCGGGTTAACCGCGCGTTGATCGGATGTCGCGTATCACGCGTGTCCGCGCAACGGAGGGGACCGAACGAGCCCTTCGTGGATTATTCCCCGGCTGCCAATATACTCTTGAAGAGTAAACTTCAACGTATAAAATTCCTCGGAGAATTTTTTGTAATTTGTTCTTGCGATATCAAACGGTGTAGCGAATGCTGTTCGAGTAAGAGTACACGTTGTAATCTTATTATACGTAACAATGGTAATCAGTAATAAATTTTCTCTCACATCCCCAAGATATCTTTTGCATTCTATGCGATTTTAGAACAATGTACATGTTGTCTGTACAACTATATTTGTAAAGATGCATCTGCGAACTCATGTTTGTATTATATTCGTCAATGTAATTCGAAAGAATTTGTTAGTGATGTTGGATCAAATATATTCATCAAGATAAGTTTTGAAGCGTATGTAAACTAACAAAAAATAAATTAATTTTTAAAATAATTTTCGATTGACACAATTATCAAGTTTTCGATGAGAAAAAATCGACTTCAACTTTATCAGACAGCGTGTCCTTATAATAAGTTTAACATCCTGTAATATTAATCGTGAAAATAATTGATTGAGCAAATTACAACAAATTCTGACATCGATTATAAAGAAAATGTAAAAGTCGACAGATGAAAATAAACAGATCTTTACGAAAGACGCGATTATCACGACAAATGAGATCCCAAACCCGATTCTGTATAAATCCATCGTATCACGTATGTAGCACGTGTACGACATTAATAAGGAGAACGATTGCCGCGAGTATTGCGGAGGGTGAAATAAGCGGACGATCAGACTCGTCGAGATTTACGAGTATTTGCCGAAAAAACAAGAACGATCGTTAATTGGGCTGCGCCCATGAACATCGCTGAAGTATCGATACGTCTATATAATATCCATGGTTGACGCATCGCGCTGGCACTTTCAGCTAACTGCCCGTTGTCGCCTTTGATCGAGGGTCTCGTCGATGACTAATCCCTAATTACTGATCGCAGCGCGGAAAAAGGATGCGCACCTGCCGCCAATAACATTCGCGTAAACACAACATTGCACTCCGAAATAATCTTATAATTTGATCATGAAGCGAAAAAGATAGAAAAATCCGAAAAATAAATACTTGTTCAATGTCATAAATTTTCGAATTTTCCACAATTTTCCATTGCATGATTATATATATGGTAAATGTAAATTTAATTGCAAAATAATAACCGTGCAAAGTCTCCAGTAATTGCATTTTGTTTCAATTAATCGAATTATTTTTAAAATTTTAGAAATATGAATTATATATTTTATGTTGTATATAAAAATGTTAGATATAAAATATTTTAATATAAATATGTATCGCTTTGAGACTTTGATTTGAAATTAAAATATTATGAAATATCACTATATTGTAAAAAAACGAATTATTCCATATACAATAGCATATTACATATTTTACTCGCAACCAACATAAAATTCGGTAGAATATTGAAGACATCAGTGCAATCTCCAGCAAGCATCTACCATGCCTTCGATCACCATTACTAATCTGACCAGAATGATCGAGGGTCCCGCACCCTCTCTCGCTCTTAATGCCCGCTATAATTAACAATAATCAACGCGATCCCTCAGACAAGAATGCCGACCTCGCACGATTCCGTCACCGGTATCGAAGCTCGTAGAGCAAGAAGACGAAGAAGAAGACGACGGATAGAAGGATCCTTACGGGACTCGTCGAACGAAATTAGACGATCTCGATCCGAAGCCGTAAGCGGCCACGACTCCATTCCCGCAGACTCCCTTAACCTTCTTTTCATCGCTCTCCTTTTCCCAGTTCAGAAACGATGAGATCTACCGAGTGATTGTATGAAATCAACCGAATCTCCCTAACGCAATTCTACTCGACCTGTTTGTATTTGTAAGAAAAATGGCGCGGCGTTCGTTCTCTCGTATCTCCAATTACAATTACAGTGAGTAATTTATTGTCCCGTGTCGATCTTTCGTCGTTAAGAATAGAAATTAATTAAAATAAAACGCGAAGATGGATTTTTTCAATTTCTAAGTTTCTCGTTCTGCAATTTGCATTCCGTTCGATAAAATTTAATTCAAGAATCGTCACGCGACGAATGAAAATAATTGTGATTTATATTTATTCCATCGCGTCAAGCATTCCGCATAATTTTATGTAACATATGTAAAAAAATTTCATGTATTGGCAATTTTATTAAAACCTGGCTACCGTGTATAAAAGACACATATATCGGTGAGTCTGAATTTCTCAGTTCGTTTTCAGCTGATGCTCAAAAATAACCGGTCTCGGACAAAGGCGCGCATTAACGGGTGGACGGGTGGGCAATGTCCGAAAGCTAGTTACGCTGCAGGTACCATTCAACGTTTCGTACATTCGCTAAGAAGTGGCGAGTACACCCTTTCGACTTCGGTCATTCGAAGCATACCAACTAGGTAACCCTTCGGATAGGGTCAACGAAGGACCCGGAAACTGTAGCAAGGTGAGCTCGCCGCATGCGAGCGTCCGGCGGGCAAATAGGGGGACGGGGTTCGCCCGAGAAGGGAGATGGACCGGAGGTAGACGCAGGGGGATGCAAGGTCCGGGGAATATTGAGCCGCTCCGTTAATGTTTATAACGACGTTAGACGTTGGTGTCCCCGACGGCGCGTGTGTAGGTGCTACGGGATAGGTAGAGAGAGGGTGGCTTCGGCCACCCTCCGTAGCCGTAGCCGCTGTCTCTTTTTCTCACGGGATCCGCCGCTTCTCGCCCGCCGCCACCGTCTCTCTCTCCTCCTCGCAACGGTGGCGGCAGTGGCAGCGCCGGCAGCAGGACAGGAACTGACATAAGCGCGCGAGTGTGTATGTAGAGCACGTACTCGGGGGCTCTCCAGTTCGACGGAGTAGGTGGAGGTGGGTGGTCGTGGGGACCCCTGTGTAGAGCGAGGGGGAGGCCGGGGGGTGGTGGATGGCGGGTGAGTGGGTGGTTGAAGGTGGCGGACGGAGGAGGGTGGGCTGCATTCTAGCAATGGGATGAGGGAGCCTCTGTCTAATCGATGCCGCGGCGGTGCGCGCTCGCCCCGCTGGCTATTACGCACCTTAATGTCCTTTTCCCTCGGTCCCCCTTCCGCCGCCCCCGTCCGGCCAGCCACCCACTCGACGGTCCCCGCGTCGTCCTCCTCCACCTTCGACGCCGCGCGCCACCCGCCGCTGTGCCGCCGTCGCCGCCGTTCCTTCTCACTCCCTCGCCCTTATTCCGCGGCTTCTCACGACGGCCGACGTCCTTCTCTCGCCTTCCTTCCTTTCGTTCTCTCCGGCGCACCGAGAGAGGCGGCCATGACACGTGTCAATCTACCGCAGACGCCCGATCGATACCGACGGACCCTCGGCTTCTCTCTCGGCGCTCCACCGCCTCTTCCTTCGCCCTACTGCCGACAACTGCCACCCCTCCTCCCCCCGTCACCCTTCTCACCATCCCCCTTTGCCCCTCGGTTGGCCGCCGCACACCCTGCAACGAACCTTCTACGAATGCTGGCGCTGTATGCTAGGCTAACACTCAACGTCTGACCTGCTGTCTCCATCGAGATCCTGTCTATTCGGATACCGAGGAAGCTTCAGATTCGGTCGAAATATT